TCAATTTTTATTTATTTCATCCTAAATGTATGCAATCTTTTGAAATATTTTGTTATATTAATGAAAGTAATTTGAATAGACTTTTAAGAGTAGTATTTCCATTTGTTGAAGGGAAAAATGCTACATTTTACAAATCATTGCGGCTTTACCAAACTTCATTATTAATGTGCGTTAGTGTTCCGTAATACTAGAACTGTAGAATGCCTCATATTCATGTAAATAATTTTGCCAGTAATAAAAGCAAATATGTATACCATCATAATATATTATTGAACAAAAAATAGTTTCTGTATACAATTATTTGCTGTTTAAGCGTATGAAAATAAATAAAAATTGTATAACTATTGTAAAAGCCAATAATCAGTTAAGATTTTATAATGGATTTTAGTTTCATAGCTTTAAAAGCTAAACTACATTTTAAATGTGTACACATTTTATTCATATATATACATATATACATATATATGACATGATACATATATGACATATATGATATATATATATACCTGTAATTTGTATTATAGCAAATTATTATTATTTTTTTTTTTTTGAGTTTGCCAACTTGAAAATTATTTATAGGTTAAGATTACGCGTTGAAATTTTTATTATTTTCTTACGTTATTTCTTATGTTTGTTGTTATATGTATGTTTTTGCTTTATGTTATGTTTTTAAACGTTATGTTTTTGTATTAAAGTATTATTATGCTATAATATTTTAAAAATTTTCAGTTCATTTTTATATTTTTGTATTTTTTTCTTTAATTTTATTCATTCATAATATAAATTATGTATGGTTAGATGCAATAATGATGCTGCAGTTGTAACAAAATATAATCTTAAATATTTATGTATATGTATATGTGTATATGCAATTTTTTGTGTATATAATTATGTTTTTTATATTGTATTTTTAAAATATATCACGTCATTATTTTTATAGCCTATAAAATTAAAGTTAAAATGGAAAAATAAATACAGCTAAATATAAGTATATACATACATATATATATGGATGTATGTATATAAAATTTATATAGCAAATATATGATTTTAAGTTTGAAGTTATTAAATTTAATGTTTTTTTTTTGGTTTTTTTTTTCGTTTCCAACAAATTTATTACTTTAACATTAACTATAAAGTGTTAAAAATGAATTGATTGTTTGTATGCGATTGTTGGTACCATCGAATTAAAATCGTAAATTTTTTACAGATCATTTTAATTTTGTTTTTGTTTTTTTATTTTTTGGTTCTTAATAAAATTTCATTATCTGTTTGTCTACCTCTTTCCATTCCACGCTTTTGATTTAAAAAATCCTTTTAAAATTATTTTTTATAACAAAAAACCTTAAAATTGTTAAAGAAGAAAAATGATGAACCAATAAGAAAATTTTAAAATTATTTCCTTCTTTTTTAATTCTATAAAATTTTAAATATAGTTTTTATGAAAAATTTATAATTTTTAAATGCAATACAGTTTTTTTTTGTATTTGTTCATTTATTTATCATTCTATAATATTCTTAAAGTAATAATTATTTCAAAATGTCAGAAACTGCCTCATTCTTATCACATTATTTTAGTTACTGTATAGGCAGAGAATAGCAGAGTTGCAATTGTCTAATGTAGTTAGTTTTCCATTGATAAAAATATGTTTCGAATGAAAAGTTACAAGATGATGAATTTAAGCGATATATTAAAAAAAATGAAAACTCTAATATGGATAGTGACTAAAACGGTACGAACTACAGTTCCTTGATTAATATTATAAGTGTTTCTCAATTAATATTTCAGAGTTTTAATATTACAGTTGTAATTACTGTAATATATATATATATCTCATATATCTTATATATATCTCATATATCTTAACATATTTAGATTTGCTCCTATTAAAGTTCTATATACAAATATTAATTAATATAAAAGCTGATTGTTAATATTATTATAACGTATATTAAATGCATTATTAATTTAAACGTCATAACCATTTTAGTTTTTAATTATGAGAATCTGAATGATCTTAAATAGTATGAGAAAATTTTAATTATATAATTATATTGTAGATTTTATTTTAATTTTTAAAATTTATATCATAAAATTTATAATATTTATTTAATAAAAATGTAATGCTTATTAAATTTCATATTATAAATTTTAGTATGATATAAGAAGAATAACTAGTCTGTTAATATTTATTTAATTTCAAATTCATTTTTTATATTGTGTTAATATTGTAACACTTTTTTGGCGTATACATAAGTGATTTAACAAATCAATTGCGTGCAATTATACCATAAAGCATAACATATTAATTAAATATATTTATTTTGTAATTAATTATAGAGCTTAATTTAATTTAATATTTTAATCTTAATTTCATTTTCCCTCTTTATACTTATATATTTAACTGAATTTGTTATATATATACTTAAATTTAAAAAATAAATAAATAAATTAGTTAAATATCTAGAATTGAAAAAAAAATATTTTATTTTTTTGAAAATCATTTATTTTAATAGAAAATTTGTTAAATACGAGTACTCGTATCTATTAAAAAATAAAATAAAAATAATAATAATTATTAGCCGCTTAAGCCGATTACTAAATGTAATTTTAAGTATTCTTTTATATATGTAGATGGCATACAACCAGCAGTTTTAAAAATTTAAGCTTAAATTTGTTTTAATGGCGAAAAAAAAAATGAAAAATCAAAAATAAATGCAATAGCAAAAATATTTAATTAATTTGTTAATATGTCATAAATTATGATAATTGTTAAAACGGTTATTTTGCTGTTTAAATGTTTTTTTTTCTAATAGTTAAAAAATAAGAAAAAAAAAAGCAGCATAGATTGTTTGTTTATCGCTGTTTAGTTTTTATCTTATTAAAATTCTAAAAATTCTTATTATTTTTTATTTTTTTGGCTTTGGTTTTACAAGTTTGTGTGTTAATGTTCTATACGTTCATAAAAAAAAATATACAACAGCTATGTGTGCGGTTCACAAGTTCTAAAATATATGCTATATAATAAAGTGTGTGTTTTATTGAAAGATTTAACCTTGCTCCACAATGTACTTTAAGAAAAAAAAATAAAATTGAAATAAGATTTTTTTTTTCAAATTAGAAAAAAAGAAATAGTACTAAAAAGCTGTTATATTCTCTATATACTCATATATATGTATGTACATACTAATAAATTGAGTGTATGAATGAGTGTACGAAATGTGTATATGGTGTATTTTTGTTGTACTTATATAATAATTGCGCGAGATGCGAAATTTGTTAAGTGTTTTTGACAGGGTTATTGTGTTATTAAGTCAAATGTTAGTTACTAGATTCTCATTAAAAAAAAAAACACAAATTTCTTATTTTATTTTTTATATATAATATGTGTATATATAGTTATGTATATCAGTATATGAACATTGAATAGGTGTGTATGAATTTATACGTTCATATTGTACCATCGTATAGAGATGCATGAAAGTACAAAATTTGAAAGATTTACAAATTTTCCTTAAAATGAAAAATGTCATATATATAAGTCGATTCTTATGTCGAAAACTGAGATTATATTTAATTCTTTGTGTTTATAATATTATTTAAATTCTATGCATGCGCAAGGTCTTGTAGTCAAAGAGACGAACCGAATATGGCCTTTTACATGCAATCTAGTACTAGACAAATATGAAGGCTTGCCGGTTACTATCAAATTAAAAAGAGATACTTTACATGCTGAATATTTCATCTAGGAAACCCACCTATCTCGAGGTATACTAGTACATATACCAGTTAACATCTTTTAAAAAACGAAAAGGCCCATTGAATATAATTTCAAATTTCTGTCCCAAGAAGGATAGTCGCAACTCAATTTATTTGAGTTAACTAATTTTTAAGAATTATTATGTTCTTACCATTTACCATTCCGAAAACTAAATTATAATTATTTTAAAATAGTTAACAATTTCGAAATTTTGTATACTTAAGTATTTTTAAAATTTAATTATTTTTTGTATTGAATTCATTTAAAATTTTTATAAGAATAAAACTGCTTAAAAAGCATTTTAAATTAGTGTTGAAGATAAGGTGTTGAAACAAAATAATTAAGTGTGTATGTGAATTTACACCATAATACAATACATAAGATGCATAATCTGTAAAATATCAAAGATAAAAATAATGACAAAAATTTAACATTTTTACAGAAAATTACAAAAAAAAAAAAAATTAAATATTTTTACTTCATTATTTATTTTAATTTTATTCTTTAAAAAACGACTTAAGTATTTGTTTAGCTATTCGAACGCGTTCATATATTGGCAACAATACTGTAGAGTTTATTGATTCTGATATTATTGGTATTTATAATTAACAAATAAATTAATAATGGTAAAAACAAAAAAAAATTCGATATGATATGCATTGATGATATCTGCAATTAAGATCTTTAAAAAAAAAATAAGATATCATGCATGCTACTTTTGAAAAACAAAAATTTATTAAATGGTGTTAAAGGTGTTGGAGGTGTTGACACTAAATCATATAATTATTATAAAATTAAAATATATTAATTAATTATTATATATATAATATGTATAATAGTTTAGATATAATGTGCATTTAAAAGCAAAAAGTAATTAATTAATATTTTTGAAAAAAAAAAATCCAAATTCCAATTGTCCTCAAAGTTACTTAACATTAGTTCACATGAAGGAATAAGTCAAGCTACATAAATAATGCAATAACCTACAAATATTTTGATCCTTGGTCATATACATAAGTAGTTTTCACAATTGAGAAATTTTTGTGTAAATTTGGCAATTTTCATTTTGGAAATCTAATGTTGCCCTGACTGCAACAAAAACCCAAAAAGTTTAATTGTTATTAATTAGAAATGGATGATATTATTTCGAATTTGCCATTATTTTAATGCCTTCCATTAAGTTAATAGTAAAAAATCTCTACTTGAGACTATATTGTAGTATAATTACTTTTCCTGATAATATAAAGTTTATAATTCATATACCTTTAACATTTTGATCATTGAAATTATAAAAATTTCGTTTTTAAATTATTGAACTCCACAATACCTGTAATGAGAAGAAAAACAAAATAATTAATTAAAAATTTTGATTATTTGAATATAATATTAATATAATTAATTGTCAAGGAACTTTACGTAAGAAATGGATAAGCTGCTTCTTCTAAGAAATATTAATTATGGCTTTACTTTAAGGACATCGTGAAAAACAAGTTATGTTCATAATATATTCCTAACAAGTTGAAGTTATATTCATAGAAATAATGCAAAATTATATTATATAAGACATTCATTTTTAAATCATTACAAATTTTTTGAAAATTTACCTAACCAATTGTACAGTTCACCTCACCAATTTCTCAGAAAAATCAATAATACTAGAATAAAACTATATTATAATTAACTTTGATACTAATTCATATACACACATATTCCAGACTTATGTAATATTTAATGTGATTTTTTAAAAATTATCACCACCTTCTCATAATTTTTTATTATAATTGACCAAATTTTTTAAGGTTAAATTTAAATATCGGGCGTCTGTCATTCAAAATTTAAACACATTTATATTAAGGAAAATTGCTAAATACACAATACAATAAATGTCAATTTATAATTTAATTTCTTTATAAGTATACAATATAACAGTTTTATAAATTATTTATATATAAATATGTACTTGAGAATTTTTCATGATCCTTTTTTAATTCTAAAATAAGAACAAAATAATATGAAGTAGAGCAATTGGAGAAAAAAAAAGTTCTTTTGAATATAAAAGACAATGAAAATAAGAAAAGAATAGAATTTCTGAATGAATTCGTTCATAATATAAAAATTTCATATAACATGTATATACAGTTATGGATATATAAATGTGTATAACAGTATAGTGTGACAGTTTATTTAGTGCACTTTTAAGGTGGTGTAACCTTGTAACCGAATAAGGTTTTTTTTTTTGATTTCTTGAAATTTAATTTCGTAATTATTATATTGTTTGTATATGTTATATAATAATAGTATAATGGTGCATTTTTTTTTGCAATATTTTTTTATATATAAATAAATTATATTTTTGGATTATTATTATATTTAACCTATAAAATATGAACGTAAATAAACTAGTTTAAAACTTGGATAATAATCCAGTTATAAATTTAATATAAATTTTAACAATAATAATGATAATTGTTGTTGACAGACTAGTTATAATATGTTATAATATAAGAGTTTTGACAATCAAATAATTTTTGAAAAATGAATTATGATTTTTATAACATATAGGTACTGTTATATAAATAATATACATATTTAAATTGTATGTATTTACAGAAATATTATATATGGCGATTATTTTAAATCATAATTTTTCTTTATTTTATTTATGATTATATACCATTTGTTATACTGCAATTATATCAAAATATTTATATTAAAATTTTATGTAGGCTGATTTTGCATAATTTTATAATAATATATGGGTTAAGAAAGGCATGATTTTTTTTCTGATTAATTGGAATTTATTTAATATCAATAATTTATAAATTAAAATTTTAAATGATGATTAATGTTAATTGTATGTAAAATCTCAGTAAAATCATGTGTAAATATTTAAAAAAAAAAATTAAAAAATTTCATGAGAAATAAGAAACGGTTATAACAGCCTATACTGTCTAAAATAAACAATAGTGAACAACAAACGGCGGAGAATGAAGATTTAAGTAAAGAGTTTTAAGTGAAGTTTAAAATTAAATTTCAAGATGAAATTAAAGTATCTATTTAATGAAATAGGAATTTAGACTAAGTATATATTTTACAACATTTTAAGATGTAATATAACTGTAATTTTTATATTATAAGTGTTAACAGTTATTGTACACATTTTACATTGATCACCACAGCATGTTAGATGACATTATAGTTCTCAGAGAAGTTCCGTAGGCGTATAGTATCTAATATATAGTGAGAATGGGGTTATATATTAAAAATGCAATAGAAATTTTAATTTAAATATTAAAATTTTCAATTTAATAACTCAAATATTTAAAGTAACAAAATTTTCACATTCAATATGATGTTACCGCGTAAATTTTAAAATTTTAATTTAACATCAAAAGAATATTAATTAATAATATAAAATTATATTATTAATTATAATTAGTAATTAAAATCTTTTATTATCAATTTAAAATTTAAAATTTCATAAATTTTTTCAAGGGTATATAATAAAAAATTCTAAATAATTTTATTTTGTTGAAAATTTTTTAAAGATTTCAGTTTAAAAATTAATTTGGAGAAAAATATTAATAATTAAGTTATCGTTTACAATTAAAATTTTAATTAATTTTATTATTAATATAAAATAAATTCAAATATTTTTTTAAATACACAAAATCATTATTAAGATTTTCTAATAAAAAAATTATTAGTATATTTTTATTAGTTTTATTTCCATTAAAAATCGATCCTAATTTATTATTTAAATTCAAAATAAAAAAACAAAATTTTGTTTTTATTATTAAAAATATAATATTTAAAAAAATCACTATAATTTCGATCATATTTAAATTAATTTTTATTCTTATAAATAATCTTAATTGAATTTAAAACCATAATAATAACATAATCAAGATTATATTAACTGTTATCAACACACATTTACTTATATAATTATTTATACATAAATGTATATGTATTCTATATACCGTATAACAAGTATAGCGGTAACATTTTTTTTATTTTTATTATTTTCAAGGGTAGATCGTTCTATATTTGCATACATACTAGTATATACGTATGCATAATAATGTATATATATTTTAACAATCATATATACTATATGTATAACAAAATTTAATCTACATAATATTATTATTATCGAATATAATATTAAGGCATTGTAATAAATTCTTAACTGTCTTTATATGACATTAACGATTATATGCATAAAAGCCTACTTTTTTTTTTTTTTTAATGAATATAAAATTTTCAAATTGTATTTATGAGCAACTCATGCATATATGAGTTGCTCATATTTAAAACTAAAATATAAAAATTGAAAGTTGAACAAATTATTTTGTTTGATTTTGTTTTTGTTTTTGATTTTGTACAACTATATAAAAGCAATAATAACAGAACTGTATCAAAACCGTTATACACATATCTGTATATGAATATTGATAGATAGAATAGAATTTTGCATATTTTGAATTGCATATTTAATAATAATACTGTTCTATAATTGATTTAAAATTCGTATACTTTCATACTTTCAAAATTTTTTTTTGTTAGAATTATTCATGTTTGTGCCCATGTTCTGGCGGCAATAAGTATAAATGCCTGGTAAAATTGTGATATTGGGTATATTGGTTTTTAAAAATATAAATTATTAAAATTTGTATAACAGTTTAGAAAGTATTTTATTAACTTTTAAACTGTTATACAATGGCATGAAAATTGAGAAAAGCGAGTAAATTTAAATAATTTTTCATTTAAAATTTCTTTAGTTCTATATAGAATTTTATATTCTATATAGAATTTCTAAAATAAAAAGAAAAAATTGTAATGAAAATATATTTTCAATTTCATTTACAATCAAAAAGAGGAACAATCAAACAAACTATAAGTAAATTTTCTTGTATGCATTCTGTGTGCTTTTTGCCTGCCTGTTTATAACAAACACAAAAATTCGAAAAATCGATCTTAAATTTTTTATTAATGATTTTCCAATTTTTTGTTTTTTTTTATTCTGTTTATTTTATTTGAAAAGAAAAGGAAAAACAAGAAAAACCAATACCCATAAAAAAAAAATTACAAAAAAACCATATGAAAATATGATAAACTGTGCCAAGACCAAGGTTAACACCATATTCAATTTACCATACAAAAAATCTGAAACATAAAAAATAAGAACAAAAAAAAAAAACAAAAATAAGAAAAATAAAACCACCATCAAGCTGTTGTTCAACTCACAAGTCACAACTGAAAAACTTGGTGTCTTTTTCTTTTGATTTTTTCTTGTTCTTCTTGTGTTATGGTTTGTTTTGGGTTTTTCTTTTTTCATATTATTTCTTATTGTTTTTTTATATGCCCGCGTTATTGAAATTTTTATACCGCTTTGAAAAAAAAAAACGAAAATCTACCAACCTACCTATGTATATATTTTTTATGTTATTTAAATTAATTCACAATAATATTTATATATGTATGTGCAAATGTATAACATAATTTATGTTCAATTTTTATATGCAATTTAAGAAAAAAAAAAAAAAAACTCGATTATAAACTTGGTTTAGTGGTATATGAGCGCATAAATTTATGCAAAATATGCACTAAATTAATTCAATGAATCAATTATTAAAAAAAAAAAGAAAAACAAAGAAGAATATAGTAAGGTAAAGAAAGAAATGGAAAATCTATAATATATTTTAGTAAAAATTAATAGAGAATAAAAATCGATATCAAATATTATGCTGCATATATAAATGGTATAATAATTTTTGAAATTAGAAAATTATTTTATATTAGGTGAGATTAACACGTGGTCTTTGCTATTAAAAATCCATTCGTTATGATTTGGATATAAGCAGTTAATCAAACAAAATATTATAATAAAGAATATGCATGGTGCCCGAGCATGGGTATTGAAAATTTTCGATAAAAACTTGATGGACACATTTGAATGAGAAGGTACTTATTAAATACCATTTGGTGTGATGATCTCTAAGTATGGGGCTATTGATGTTCTTTATATGAATTTAAAATAAATCTTCTGTATGAGTCTCCTATTCTAATACAAGAGATGCAAACAAAATTAGCGTATATATTTTAGTGAAATTTATCAAAAAGTATATTTTTAAATGTTGTTATGTTCGTGACGGATATTATGAGGTTGACGGTATAATGAATGCATTTTATACCAGTATATATTTACAGTTAACAATTAGGTTTTGCAAACGACTTGCTTTTGCATTCATTTTTCGTGGAAATGAACTTTTATATTTTAGAAACATATACATACATACTACAAATATTTGAATTTAAAACTAA